GGGTGGGGGGGGGGCGATGGTGGAGACAAGTAGATCAGACGTGGACACTTGGAGCTCAGGGCCCTCTGGGATGCCCGGGCAGGTCTGGAATTTGGAGCAAGGTTAGAGTTCCGATGGAAGGAAAGAGAAGCTGGTGAGTGCCAAAGACACAGCCTGCGGGCGTCCTTGTGTGGCAATTCCTATCCCGAACTTTCAGTCCTCATCGAAGTCTAAAGCATTTGGCAGCTAAGACAGGGGAGCTCCTCCCGGCTCGCCCGCTGCATGAGATGAAGAACTGACCTTTTGACTTGAGCCGAGGGGGTACGGGGCAGAGTCATGACTGGGGACAAGGCTGTCATATTGTCCTGTCCCACTCTGCCGTAAACCAGCTTCTTCTGAGGTGCTGCGGGACTCAGGCTTTTGTTGAGTCACGGGGACCCTTCAGGAGCACGGCCAGGATTGGCCTTTCTCAGACAGCCAGGCAGACAGGAGCTGGGCGTACGGGACCGATGATGGCTGCCTGGCCCACTGCAGGGCCTGATGGGGCCAGGTCCGAGAGAAGGGCTGCCTAGGACCGGCCAGCAGCTCACCTGGAAGCTGCCCAGTAGGTTCTAGATATTTCATGATTGCAGACTGGAAGGGAAGCAGCACGCCTGCCTGACCAGCCCTCCTTCCCGGAGGAGTCTGCCTCATTGTAAGATATCTCTGGTGTCTGGAACATTCCATAATCTGGTCCCAGTTCTGTTTCTGTTCCAGTTCCAGGTCTGTGAGGCCAAAGCCTCACAGGCAAGTTTGATCTGAGACATCCAGCCTCCAGAACTGGGAGACAAGACCTTTGTGTCGTGTGAGCCACCAGTTAGGGTACTTTGTTACAGCAGCCCCAGCAAATTGAGGCAGCCATCTTGCTATGACAGCCAGGTGGTGGGTAGTAAGCATTGAAAGAAATTTTCTGGAAGAAATGTGAAAATGCCTCTCAAATCCATCATATAGTACAACCTAATTCTCTTTCCATATTGCTTTAAAAAGCATCGGAAACCATTCATTGCTTTCGTTAATGAGAGAAATAAGGAATAATCAGAGATGTGCAGTATTTTGGGCTGAATCGTGGCCCCTCGAAAACTCATATGTTCAAGTCCTCAGCCTCGGGACCTCAGAATGTGCCTGTATTTGGAGACGGGGTCTTTAAGAGGCGATTAAGGTAAAATGACATCATTGGGGTGGGCTCTAATCCAATCTGACTGGTGTCCTTACAAAAAGAGATGAGGACACAGATACGCACAGAGGGACGACCACGTGAGGACACGGGGAGAAGACGGCCATCTCCAAGCCAAGGAGAGAGGCCTCAGAAGGAGCCGACCGTGCCAACATCTGGATCTCAGAATTTCTGCCTCCAGAACTGGGAGACAATACATTTCGGTTGTTTGAGTCACGCTGCTTGTGGGACTTTGTTACAGGAGCCCTAGCAAAGTAAGCCAGCCCACAGACCCCATCGGTCACCAAGCCCTATCAGTGCTACTTTGTCAACAGTTCTCAAATCTTTCCACTTGTTCAAATGTTCTTATGGACAAAAGTCCAGACACATAGGAAGAATCCAAAGAAGGGCTGAATGAAGAGGAGGGGCCTTCTGGCAGAGCAGCCGCTGCCGCCACCTCCTCAGCCCCTCCCAGCCCAGCACTCTGCAGCTTACTCTCTGCCACCAGTCCGTGCCGCGGCAGGTGGTCTGTCTCCTTCCTGGCACAGGGGAGGTGGCCCTGAGGACTGTTGTGACATACAAATGGTTGTGCGGCTTGAGTTGGAGAGGGGAACGGGGGCTCACAGTGACATTATGGGAGTTGGAACAGCTGCTGGGGCCCCTGAAAGTGACCTGGAGGGACAGGTGCTCTGCCCCTCCGGCCTCGGGGTCTTCAACGGGTGGCACAGAGGTGCAGCTTGTAGCAGACCTGGATTTAGGCAAAGCTCCCAATCCAGGCAGGTGCTTTAAACAGCAGTGACAACAGGGAGGTGGCACTCTCGGCAGGACTTAGCAGAATTCAGCACGGAGTACAAGGAGGTATTGATCGCTCTTCATCCACAGACAAGAGAGCACCATTATCTGCCCGGACACTTGAGCTCAGAAATCAGGACAAATCAGGGCCCCGCCTGCAGGGAGATCGCCAGCGCTCGGCCTGCCCCTGCCCTGTCACCCCACTGCCAGACCCTCCCGTCTGACTGGCTCGCAGGCCAGAGTCAGCTTGAGGCACCCACCTGGGCTCCCGGCTCCCGGCAGGGCTCGGCGGAGTTGGCATGCACTCAATCCAAATCGCCCGAGACACTTTGGCTCGGCCTCCGTCCACACTGGCAAAGAAGGCATCTGTGAACAGCGCTGGGGACTGCAGAGCGTCCTTCCCCGGCAGGAGGGGGAGGACGGCATTGGCAGGTTGAACTTGGCCAACTTGTAGGAGAACCTTGAACAAGCCTGATAGTGGCAGGGCTGGCGCCCTGGTGGCGGACCCTCTCCAACCCCGTGACACAGATAATCACTGAACAGACAGGAGTGCAGTGGTCTCTCCTTGAAGGCCGAGCTGTTTGCTCCTTCCAGCCCTAGGACATCCAGCCAGATAGGCCCTTACTGATTTCTGTGCCCCATCCTGTCACTGGGCACATGGGGACACTGACTCTGAGGCTCTGCCAGGAGATGACCTGGCAGAGATACCACAGTGACTGAGTGGCAGGCAAGCCTGGAAGCCACCAGCCCCAGGCAGAGATGATTGATTGATTGAGTGATTGATTCATTGATTGATTACCTGCTGGATCCAGGAGGGGATCTCGCCAGAACAGGTGGCTCCTGGCTTTTCTCAGAAGGCCCGTCCTCATCCACCACCTCCACCCTTTGGGCAAGAAGAGAAACAGATGTAGCACCTGTCCCCAGGGCCCCGTGGCCTGCTCAGTTGCCTCTGAAGCCCGTGCTTTCTTTCACTGGACTCTATGGCCAGGAGATGGCGCGGGCTGGGGCCTTGTCAACTCTGTTTTGGGATAAGGACGGCATACTGGGTTGAGTAGTGTCCTCCCTAAGTCCATGCCGCCCTGGGACGTGTGGATGTGACCTTATTTGGAAACAGGGTCTTTGCAGACGCAGTCAGGGTTAGGTGAGATCGTCGGGCAGGAGAGCGGCCCTAAATCCAAGGCTGCCGTCCTTATGGGACGAGGGAAAGCTGCACGTGGACACACAGAGAAGGCGGCCACGCGGAAGCCACCGTGGCGCATGCGCACGGCGAGGCTCGCCAAGGATGGCAGCGCCGCCGCCAGCCAGAAGAGCCTCTTGGGAGCCATTCTGTCTCACGGCCTCCGGAAGGAACTCACCCTGCTAACACCTTGATCTTGGACTTCCAGCCTCCGGAACTAGGACACGATACATTTACAGTGTTTGTGTCACACAGTGTGTGGTACTTTGTTATGGCAGCCCTAGGAACCTAATACAGCCGCTAACAGCACACTCATCTGTCACTTCCTTCGCTCTGCCATCACCCTCCACTGGCTGCATTTTAGTCTTTCTGCTCTTCCAACGCAGCATGCTATCCGCACCTCCGGGCCTTTGCACCAGTGGGACCCTGTACCTAGAACACTTGGCATGTCGGCTTCCTCGTTTTTGAGTCTTTAGCTCGTCATGAAGGCCTTTCCTATCTACCTGATGCAACATTCCTAAAATTCAGCTTTCCAGAACTCTCTTCCTTGTCCTCCCCAGATAGTCTCCCCTCCCAAAAGATGTCCTTTTCACCAAATGGCAACAGCCCTCCCTTGCTCAGCTGGAGTGTCCTGATGTCCTGATCATTCCCTGTTGAATCCTGTTCACCCCTTACGGCCCATCTCCAATGTCATGGTCACTCCTAAGGGCCTGGCCAGGCAGGGGCTCCCAATGACAAGCCTCTGGACCCCAGGCCAGTGCAGCTCCTGCAAGGGCATTGCCCAGCCTGTCCCTGGTAGTGGGGGTGGGGGGCAAGGGAATGACTCGTGTACGTCCCCATAGCTGCTTTTGCTTCAAAACCCCAGAGGCCCTTGGAAATACTACGGCTCCATCTTGGGTCAGGCACCCAGCCCTGTTAGCTACTGGCAAATGGGAGCTTGCAGCCATACGCTTTGTTCTCTCGGCCAGGCTCCCATCTTCACAGAACTGGCTGCTGGTGCCATATGTGCCACCATGGCCACCCGGGTGCTCACCTGGCCTCCAGACAGAAGCCAGCAGTCCCACACAACTATCCCTGTTCAGGGACAGCTACCACACCCCACCACATGACCCTTCCCCTAGTACAGCTGACAGGAAAGGCTTCTCCACCGCCAGCGACAGGCTTCTAAGGCTTTCCTTGCTGACACTTACCTCTTCGCAATGAACGGCGCCTGCGTCTCCTGGGCGGGGCTGCTAAAAGGAGGCAGAAGGGTGATGTGTTGTGCAGGATGCATGGATTACACAGGTGGCATCCCGATCACCCCACCGCAGAGGGTCCTGGGTCTCTCTCCCATTCCTAGCACCCTGCCTGCCCTGATGGCAGCAGCCAGACCCCTCAGTTTTCCAGAAAGTGTACTGGAGAATCCCAAGAGGTCCGGCTGGGAGGGCCCAGGCACCACACCCTTCACCAGGCACAGGAAGACCAGGGCCCTGAGGGGGACTGTTCCAGCCGGTGGCTGAGCTGTGTCTCCCACCGTGCCACTCACCTGGTGCTCTTCTTGGCTGCTGACAGGACGTAGGAGCGCTCCCGGGGGGCCGTCTTCCTCACCACACTGCTTGCAGCTTCTGACCTGTAGTGGCGTAGGGAGGGGACATCTAAAGGGCAGGTACTCGGGATGGCTCGAGACACCCCACTGAAACAAGGGAGCGAACCCCGTTTAGTGCCTGCTCCGAAGACTGTTTGCAGAGAAGTAGAGACCAAGGGAAGGGCGGCCCACGTTTATCGACACAGGATGTTGCCAATCCGCGCTGGCTCCTTGAATCCTGACGCCCCAGGAAGGTAGGTGCTAGTCATTCATGATTTACAGATGAGAAAACTGAGGCAGGCGGAGCCGTAGGGACTTGCATGAGGTCACACAACCAGCTGGTGGCAGACTGATCAATGGATGCCAGGGGGCCTGGCTCTTCCCCAGCACCTTTCAGGCCCGGGGACCCCTGCCACTGTGCATTCTGCCCTTAGGATTGCCCATCTGCAGGGGGCTTTGCTCTGCTTCCGGAGCCACAGAGGGGCTGGCAGATGCTGGGATTGGGGAAAGACAGGCTGAGCCTGGGTGCATTTATTCCTTTAGGGCCTAGCTGCTGTCCAAGTGCCTGCTTTACTTTGGGGTGGGGGGTATTGGAACCTCTGGAGCCTGGCCCTGTCCCCCAGACCTGCAGGCCCAGCCCTGACTCTGCACACACAGCACACACTGGGCGTCCCCCGCGCTGCCTATTTTGGTCCGATTTGCTCGGGATCCTTTTTAACAGACTGACGCGCAGTCCTGAAGCATGTCCCTCCCACCCTCTGTCCACCCACAGATGAGGCTTTCTCCCAACCTCTATACCTAGGTTCTGCCCCGTAGACAGTTTATAAGAGGGTCCCCTGAGCTGCCCGAGCTATGTGGGTGGCTCTGGGTCTCAAGGGATGACAGCTGTTGCTAGCAAGCACTTCTCCAGAGCACAGGTCAGCACTGATGTCCTACATGTTGCAAATTTTATCACCCCACCTGGCACAACCCCTATTTCGCCGGTCTGCGCAGACTTGGTCCCCGGCCCCACCCCTGGGACACCCGATGGGCAACGTCACCTTCGTTTCTGTTCGTCGGAAGAGAACGGCACGTCCTCCTCTTCTGCAGCCCCTGACGTTGAGCTTCGCCTGATGTTGTAAGGTGCCCTGAGGGAGGGGGCGATGGAGGGGTTGAGGGCCGGCCGTCCTTTCTCTCCCTAACTGTCCTTTAAGAGCCAGTTCAAACCCCGCCCCTTCTCCAGAAACGTTCCCTAGCCGCTCCATGTCACGGGACAATGGCGACAAGAAACAAACAATATAGAGACAGAACCCGCACCTCTGGGCACACAGGAGTGGGCTTTTGGTATGGGCCACGAGGGGAACCCCAGAGGAAACCCCAAAGATTGACATCCAAGAAGCAGCTCAGATTTAGGCACAAAACGCCCATAAGTGATGGCTTCCGGAGGCAGCAGCATGCTTAGGATTATCAGGCCCCAGCCCAAAGGGGTGCAGAGGCCTGTCCAGGAAATATAGCCAGCCAGAAGCAGCCGGAGGGTCATGACCCATGACCCTTTCTCAAGACCCACTGGACATCCAACTTTCCGGGGCTTGTCACCAGCTGGTGGCCTCCTGGCCAGAGCATCAAGTGGCTGAGACGTCAGGCCGGCATGACTAGTACTCCTGGACTGTGGTCCGGGGAAGCGGCCCGCTGTCCTCAGCAGGCCGGTGTTTGGGCTCATTCCTTGGAGGAGGGAACAGAGCTGTGTGTGCGACAGCATACTCACAGCTTCTTGTAATCCTCGGTGGTCATCTTGTAGCCAGAGGAGGAGGGGCGGAGAGGCCCAGCGGGAGCCGCTCTCACCAAACCTGCGGTGCTGGAGAGGCAAGGAGTTTTCATGTGCCCACCCGCAGGCTCCTTCTCGCCTCCAGATTTGCCCGCAGAGCCCAGCAGGCATGTGGTAGGTGGATGACAGAATGCTGGTGGCCTTTCCTGTCTGCTGTCAGCTCTGCCGGACACCCAGAACATTTGCAGCACCCTGAGCAGGTCAGACTTCCTGCCAAGGGCGGACCCAGCCCCCTTGGGCCTGACTTTCTGCTAGAACTCCGGTTCAGTTACTCTGACAGTATGCCACCTGAGCCTGCCGGGAAGAAGGCGGCTCAAAGCAGGAGTCTCCAACCTCCAGGTCGCAGATCAGTACTGGTGTGGGGCTTGTTACGAACTGGGCAGCAGGAGGTGAACAGCGGGCAAGCGAGGGAAGCTACGTCTGTATTTGCGGCCGCTCCCCAGCGCCAGCATCACCGCCTCAGCTCCGCCTCAGATCATCAGGCATTAGATTCTCATAGGAGTGCCAGTCCCTGGTGCCAAAAAGCTTGGGGACCAGTGGCCTAAAGCATACAGCTCGCTGCAGTCAATCAGCAAGTCAAAGCTTCCTGAAAGTCAGGACTGGCTCAAGGGCAAGGTCACCTGTAATGGCTCAGAGACCAGAGTGACTGAACCAGGCCACGTATCTACCTGGGGACTCACAGTCCCTGCCATGCAGCCGCATCCTGCCCCAACCCATTGCCTCTGGTCGCCCCTGTGTTGCTCTCCAGGGCTCAACCCTATACAGAAACAGCTGCCACCCACCTCCCGCTCAGTAATGAGCAGAGTACTCTCTGCCATGAGCCCGGCCCAGGCCCTCACAGCCCCCCACTGGCTGGCCGGCCAGCACCCCGTGGACACACCTTTTCGGAGCTCCGTTGGCATTAGGGAAGTGCTGCTGAGGCGGGGCCGAGCTGTCTATGGGCTTGGTGAACACACCCCTAAAAGAGAGCCCAGAGGAAGCAGCCCAGTGAGCTCCTCGGGAGAAGCCAGGGGGCAGTGTGAGTGGGCGCGGGGAGGCGGGCCGGGTCCTGCCATCACCTACCGGATGATATAGCCACTGGGAGCCCTTGTGCTCGTAGGCCTGCCGAGGAAAAAAAAAGCATGAAGTGAAGCAACGCCTTGCCAGGGGGCCATACTTTCTCCTGCCCCCAACCACGACAAAGCGGCTCTGCCGGTGGGTGAACAAGTCCAGTCAGAACAAGGGGAGGTGTCGCCAGGGGCTTCCCAAGAGACATAGCCACCCTGTACCCATAGCCTGGTGCCTGCTCTGCTCTGTTCTCCCTGTCTCTCTCATCCTCCCCAGGAAAAGTTCCCGTGGCTGATGGCCCGGGCTCACAGCAGGTGTCCAGGAACATGTGGTCTATGGTTGGGCATTTGCTGCAGAGACAAACCCTCCAAAGTTTGGCTTCTCCCTGTCCCGCCAGGGCCCAGCGGTCCCCTGAGTGACAGGTCTTCTGGGATTGCCAACAGCCCTCCCATCCTCTGCTTTTGGAGCTGGCTCAGCTCAGGCTGGAGGCTCCATGTCAGAGGCCCGGGGCTCGGGCCATGTCACGGGGCTCCCGACCGGACCCCTCCTCCGCACAGCCTTTTCCAGGAAGGCTCACCAGAGCTCGAGGGGCAGAACCCAGGCATGAGCCACCCAAGGCCAGCTGACCCTCCCTTCCCATGCCTCTGGGGCTTCCCCTCCTCCAGCCCCTGGGACGCCCACATCACAAGTCTTCATGGATGTTTGGGACCCAAGGGCATGGCCAAGGCTAGGTCAGTGGCTAGAAAGCATTAGGCTCCACGGGCTCGGCACTCCCAGCTTGGGGACAGCTGAGGAGGCTCAGAGGACTCAGGGGAATGGGGTGAAAGCCAAGGGCTGGCAGCGTGGGCAGCCAGGGCTCAGGGGCAAGAGACAAGAACTCTGCGTACAAACAGGAGCGTGAGGCTGGAGCAGCGGGGTCTAAAGGGATCCCATGTGTGTAGACTCTGTCCTTAACCGGAGACAGTCTCCTGGAGGTGACCAGGTTTCAGGAACCCTATTTCTTGGTGTGGGACCCAAGAGAGAAAGGTCACTTTTACCCCTTCTAGCCACTACGAATATTTTTGGCTAAAATATCTCTGTACTGGACAGGCTAGGCCCTGGCCCCTGGTCAGCCCTGGACTCCACCCCCAGCCTTGGGGGGAGAATGGGAGCCAAGGTTTATGTAGACTTCCGGGTACCCCTGCTCTGGGCCCTGAGTCACAGGACATGCTTCCCAAATGTACCCCGAAACCAAAGCTCAAGGTGAGAACTATACCCTACAAAGTAAACAAGTCCTCCCACGCATCCACTACCTTTGAACCGTCCTCAGGTCCTGGCCAACCTCACTAACCACAATTCTCTCTTATATGTTCATCTCTCTACTTGGGTCATATCCATGGTCCCTGCTAAGATGTCAGTTTCCTGAGGAGAGGGCTGTGTCCTCTGTGCCCAGCACAGGACCTGTCAGGTGGCAGGTGCTGAGTCACTGAGGGATGATAGGCAAGGCCACAGTTAGTGGAGGCAGCCCCTGGGGCTAGCAGTGAACTTGGACCCTTCCCTTCCAGCTGCTGCCACTGCCTCTGCCACCACCTGACAAAGGACCTCAGTTGATAGTGTACTCATTGCCAACTGCCAGCTGTTTGGAGCAAGGACTGAGCCTGAATTTTGGGGGCCCTCACCCCCTCGCTTCTCAGGCGCAGTTCCTGCAGAGCCTCCCTGGACACGTCCATGCAAAAGTCCTCAAAACAGAGAGGGGATGGGCAGTTCCCCTCGGCCAGCTGTCAAAATGTGTCATCCTGAACTTCAGAGACAGTTGGCACAAATGTGTGTGTCTCCCCCGACATGCCTATTACAAGGAGCACTCAGCAAACAGGGTTACCTACGGAGGGACTCATGGGTGACTCTCAAAGCACCTCAGAGGTGGTCTCCCTCCCCACAGGGGGTTCTCAAGGACATCTTTGATCCCAGTTGACAGGTGGAACCATGGAGGCCCAGGAGGGGAGGCAGCCAGCCCCAAGGCCACATAGCAAGGCCAGGGAACTGGACCCAGTGACTCTTAAGTTCCCTTTCCCAAGAGGGGGCAGAGTGGAAAAAATATATCCTTCTCGTGGATGTCAAATGACTCACTGCAGACCCCGACGTCCCTTCTCAGCACGGGCTCCCTCCCTGTCCCTTAAGGACTGCAGCGTGGGGCTCCCCACCGGCCACCTGGGTACCACGTCTTACCTGGCCTTCTGGATCTCCCCAGCTGAAGAAAAGGATGTGGCACGACTGCGGCTAGAGGGCAGCTCTCTGGAGAAAGAGGGGTCCCAAAAAGAGCGGCTCCCAGACCCGTGCCATCAGCTACCTCGTGGCCTCCATCCCAGAGGCTGCCCGCTGGGCCCCGAGGCAGCTGACGGAAGTGCGGTACATGTACCCCAAGAACTTCACCCAGCATTCGCATCTCACCTGGCCTGCCTCCATATGTCACAGGAGAATGCACACATGCACACCCCGGCGCCCGGGGCTTTCCCACCCCGTGATCTTGGTCAAGTCTTGCCCTTAGGTGCATTGCCTTGCCCCTCTGGCCTGTGGCCACGTTGCGTGGCTGAGCTCTGAATGATGGAAGGCCTTCAGCATCTCCAGGTGTGGACGGGACCTGTGGAGCACAACCCCAGCCCCACCCCGTTGCTGGCAGCCCTCCCGACCTCCGGGACTTACAGGGTGTGGCCTTCCGATTCGTCCTGCTTGGTGATCCAGCTCTTGTCTCCCTTCAGAGTGGTTCGCACCTTCATCTGCTTGAGGACATTACTGCGCTCTTCCTCGCCCGCTGGGAGAGGCTTGCCTGGCAGGGGCAAAGCCACACAGCCTCAGGAGGGGAGCCCCATCCCGGAACCCTGGGCTTCCTTTCCAGCCCTCCCAATATGCCACTGTCACTTTGCTGCAGGGCCAGCCTGGAAGAAGGCAGCCACATGCCGAACCCAAGACTGAGAGGGACGAGAGGGAGCCCAGGCGTTACCTTTGCTGCTGCCTCCGAGAGCTGAGATACTCATGGTGTCTGCTCCGCGGGTTCCTTCTCAGTTGAATCAACAGGGCTCCTGGGGCAAAGGCAAGCACGTGTCTGTCACTTTATTTATTTATAATGGCTTGCGGGTCACTATGTGATCCCTGGCACAGTAAGACCATCCAGACTGTCCTTTGGGCATTGGGAAGCAAGAGCTCGTAGAGTCCTGGGTGGCAGGTACGGGCCAGAGAGAGAACACTCACTGGATCTGCCACCGTGAGTGGCACACCCATATATCTGCCCAGGGGAAGACGGTCTCCTGGGGAGCAAGGCGTGGGCTGCCAGGAGCTGTCTGTTCAAGAGATGGCTGATAAGGGCAGACTGCAAGCCCTCCTAGACAGTTCTAATGGCCGGACTACAGGTCCCAGCTAGTGTAGGCGGAGCGGTAGCGAAGGAGCCTTCACAGTGCCACACAGACTAACAGGCTCCGAGGGCCAGCACTGGTGGACTCAGAAGGAGGGACTGGGGAAAGCAGGGGTGTCGGAGGCTGGGGGACCAGCCACTTTTGGGTTGAATCATCTTCTCTCACTTCTTAGTCGCTGTCTGACAGACCTCGGGCTGGTCAGCTGACCTCACCAGGCTGCCTCAGTGTTCTTATTTATAAAGTGGGGGTTAAAAAAAAAAAGGTCTACCCTTCAGGATCGCTGTAAGGAAAGAATGCAAAAATGTCTTACAAGTGCCTGGCACCACCTGCCTGGCACAGCAAAGATCACAGGACGGTTAGACAGGAGCCACTCGGCAGTGACTCTCAACCTGTCCCCACTTGGAGAGGGGACTGTGGGTGTTCCTCAATAAGCACGATCATAGCTTGGGGACGCACAGCCCTGGGTGGTTCAGGGCTTGGCTCCATCTCCAGTGAGGAAAGCCCGGGACCCAGCTGCCAGCTCCTAGTGGTCCTCAGGGACCGGGCAAGGGTGGGCATCTGGTGAAGGCTTGCTGCTGTGTCTGGGAAGTTGGGGACATCCTGTGCTCTGCTTTTTCTTCCTGTCTTCTAGCCCTGCTCTATCTCTTTGCCCACTCTCGGCCCTTCGGCCCAGTGCTGCCCTCCTGTGGCCAGTGAGGGGTGGGCCGTAGTGGTCTCTGTGGTTTCACAGCACCCTGAAGCCTGTTCGCCCCAGGAGGGGCTGGGGTGAGGAAGCTGGTTCTAGAGGCTGGGACTGGCCTGGTGCTGCACGGACACGGAAGGCCCGCGTTATGGGTCTAGTCGCAGTCCTGACTTGTCACAGCTGGCCTCTTGGACCTCAAGAGAGGATTTGGAGGCTCAGATGAGCGGGCATGATGGGAAGCAGGAGCCCTGACTCTGCTAGCATAATCCTGAGGCAGAGCAGCCTTCCCTGTAGGGGCCTGCCACCCTCTGGGCCAGTCCAGGGCCAGACCCGAGCAGCCGGGCCCTGCCGCCAGCTGGCAAGACCTGGACATGTTTCCGTGGAGGTCGGGGCACACTGAAACGGGCAGGGCAGGGGACCAAGAGCAAACCAAATTTGCCACGTCAGCAAGAGCTGGCTTTCCCATAAACTGCACCAAATGAGCAGCCCAGGAGGCCCAAGCTCGCTTTGTGCCAGGAACGGCACCTCATCACCAAGGCAGCCACGTCAGACTTCTACTGAACAGAGCGCATTCCATAGGTGATCCTCACAGGCGTAACTGTCCCATCCCAGCGACTCATGGAGTGGCCCCACTGGGCAGGGCACACAGATAGAGTCGCTGCCTGAGACCTTGGTCCGTTGGTTTCCTGGTGCTGCTGACCGACTGGGAGACCTTGGGCAGGTCCCTCACTTCCTCTTGGCCTCAGCTCAGGAACTGCTAATCCTCAGGTTCCTTCAGGAATTCATCGGTCTCCTCTTGACAAACCTGTTAGCCACGTTGCCTGGAAGTTTCCTGCCTCATCAGAACCAAGTAAGCTACTTCCGCACACACGCAGATGGGCCATTGGGGACTTCTGAGACAAAGGGGCAGGGACATGCACAAGAGCCCACGGTGAGGGAGGCAGAGCTGGGGTGGCACCTATGCTGTCCCAGGCCCCTTGTTTATGGCTAAGATCCCAGTCAGAAGACGCAGGCAAAGACCAGGGCTGGCGGTTCATCTCAGGAGTCAATTGTCTTTTGTTGATGGGACCATATATTTGAAAGACCCAAAAAGTGGTCTTTCTACAGGACTAAAGGGGAAGGCGGCTCTTTTAAAGTGATGAGTGCCGGCCGGACAGATGGACACGTGAGGTTTGAATCTAGGTTCCAGGTAGAGAGCTGGCTTCTCCCTCCTCTTCACGCCTCCTCCCTCTATCAGCCCTGGTTCAGGCCACGGTCACTTCTGATGTCCTTCCTAGGCCACTCGCTTTTATCTGTACCTCCTTCCAGAAGCACTCATGGCCCCTAATCCCACTTGGCCTCAATTTTCACTCAGCTTCTGTGGGTTCCCCACTGACTAAAACTTGGGACAAACTCCCCAATCCAGTCCCTTGACCCAGCCTTTTTGATCCAGCCCCCACCCCCACCCCCGGTCAATGTCGACACTGCTACAAACAGACCATGTGCCTCGGCATCTCTGGAAAGGTGGCCCTCCAGCTCTCCCTCCTGCCTCCTGCCCTCGCTCCTGGGGGCCTCTTCCCTCCAGCTCTTCCTGCCCTTCCCAGACAAGACCCGCCCCCTCCCCCAACCTCAGCGAAGACAGAATCCAGGGACCACTCATGCCCCCAGCACACAGACTGCACTGACCAGCCCTGCTGCTGGGCTGGAGAGTGGCGGGGGCCATGCTTCTGACTTAGCAAACATCACCACCCCTTCTTGACCCCAGGTCTCCTGTCAGCCCCACCATTCCCTCCCTTCTCAGAGAGTGGAGTAGAATGGCCACCTAAGGAAGGGGCGACCTGGAAAACCCTCACTGCAGATGAGAGCAGCTTCAGAGAATGGCGGGGAGGGGTGGCTCTCCTGTGCTGTTGGTAGTCAGGTCAACAAGGGTGTCTTTTTGGAGGACGAATGTCCACATGTCTTGAAAGCCTTAGAAAGGGCAAGCCCGATTGATCCAGCAGTTCACCTCTGGCACTATTTCCTAAAGACACACCCGCGTAAACGAACCAGGTGTACACACAGCATCATTGCAGTGTCCGATGTGATGGTGAAGATTTGGCAGTAATCTAAATTCCCAATGGTCCTTTTTAAACATATGAGGATCCATCATTCGAGCACACACTGTGCAGCCATTACAAATGATATCGATAGATGTGATATTGAACAAGCCTTCATGTGTATGGTTTCCATATATCGTTAAGTGAAAGGCAAACTTTAAAATGAGATGTGTAGGATGCTGTCATTCACTCAAAAATATATTAACATAAAAATGCGCGTGCAAAGAAACACCCGAAAGGATATATAAGAAAATATTTTGCTCCTCTGTGTTTTTAATTTTCCTACCAAGAACGCGCTAAAGACTAAACAAGTAGCGGTTTAAGCAAATGAAACGGGAGCCGGAGCCGCCTGGGTGGCCGACGCCGGGTCTCAAAAGCTGCCACCAGGTGAGCAGCGCCAGGGGAGCAAACGGGGGCGGGGCAGTG